GTTTTCTTTCTTTTTTAGTCTTTTTGAGACAGGGTCTCCCTGTAGTCCCAGCTGTCCTGGAACTCGCTATGTAGACCAGGCTGGCCTTGAACTCACAGAGATCCGCCTGCCTCTTCCTCCCGAGTGCTGGGATTAAAGGTGCGTGCCACCACGCCTGGCCCTGTCTACATTTTGAGAGACAGTGTTTCTCATTGTCTCATTGGCTTGGAGTTCACCAGTTAAGCTATGCTGGCTAGCCAGAAAGCCCTGGGGATTTCCTACCACCTCCTTCCCAGTGCTGGTATTACAAGCACACATTAACAAACGCACTGGACTTTTTACAGGGGTTTTGGAGAATTCATGTTTACATCAAGTTTGCAAGGCAAATACTTTACCATCTGAGCTATCACCCCAGTCCTAATTAGGACTGTTACAAAATATTATTTTTCACGAAAATTAAGAAAACTATTTCAGGGCCGGGTGTGGTGGCGCACGCCTTTAATCCCAGCACTCAGGAGGCAGAGGTAGGCGGATCTCTGTGAGTTCAAGGCCAGCCTGGTCTACATAGCGAGTTCCAGGACAGCTGGGACTACAGGGAGACCCTGTCTCAAAAAGACTAAAAAAGAAAGAAAACTATTTCAGTGAGGAATATGGATGAGTTGACTTACTTGATGGTAAAACCTTTCATACGTGTATGGAGTCTATAAAAACGGTACCTGGTCTGAGTGTTTGGCTCTATTGAAATTTGATATGATTCCAAAGGACTTCTTACATTCACAGCACACATAAGTGTTAAGGTTTAGATAGCGCCACCCCCTCACCAACAGGGTCTCAAGGACTTCTCAAGCTCCTGAGAAAAGGGAACCGAGCTGATAAGCGCCCTGGTCTTTGAAGTCAAGAGAAGCAGACTTTTCTCCAGTTTGGCCAACACAGCAGGCTTCCCCTTTGATCTCTAAAGAGGACAGGTTTTAACTTCCCCCCTCCACCCAACTTAAAAAAAATATATATATATATCTTCCCGCCTTCTGCAGGAAGCAGAAGGCTCCCCCTTCCCACCTGGAAGGGAATTTGTCCCATGTATTCTTTTGCTAATAAACTCTATTCTGATGGAGTCTTATCTGTGTCCTGGTGCTTTCTCCTGATCAACTGGATTCATCCATAGGCTACTTTTTATCTATCAATAAGGTCTCTTCACAGGAGGACTTTCATATACTACTGTGACAAAAGATTTCTCAGTCGAGCAATGATAACATTTCTGTGTGTGTGACCTTGATGACGCACCTTCCTTTGACATATATCACAAAGTAATTTCTTAGTTACATTTCTAAAGTTTCTTTGAACTGAGTTTGCTGATGGGCTGTCAACTGTGAATTCTGCAGAAAACCCTTCCCACCTTTGTGACAAACATAAGGTTTCTCCCTGCTGTGAATTCTATGATGTCTGTGTAAAGAAGACCTGCTACTGAAGGCCTTCTCACATTCATGGCACACATACGGCTTCTCACCTGTGTGAATTTGCTGATGCTCTTTGAGATGGGTTTTAGAAGCCATGGCTTTCCCACAGTCACTACATGTGTAAGGCTTCTCCCCAGTGTGAATTCGCTGATGTGTACTGAGGACTGACTTGTCACTGAAGGCCTTCCCACATTCAGAACACACATAAGGTTTCTCACCAGTGTGAATTCGACGATGCACCTTTAGATGGGACTGTCTCCTGAATGATTTTCCACAGTCAAAGCATTTGTAAGGTTTCTCACCAGTGTGAATTCGACGATGCACCTTTAGATGGGATTTAATACTGAATGATTTCCCACAATCACAGCACTTGTAAGGTTTCTCACCAGTGTGAATTCAATGATGCACCTGCAGGTGGGATTTAATACTGAACAGTTTTCCACAGTGGTGGCATTTGTAAGGCTTCTCCCCTGTGTGAAATCGACGATGCTTCTTTAGGTCTGAAGCATAAACAAACAACTTCCCACAGTCACTGCATGGATAAGGCTTTTCTCCGCTGTGAATTCTCTGATGTGTGGTGAAGACTGACTTATGACTGAAGGCCTTCCCACAGTCGGAACACATATAGGGCCTCTTACCTGTATGAATCCCATGATGTACCTTCAGGTGGGATATTCTCCTGAATGATTTCCCACAGTCACAGCACTTGTAGGGTCTCTCACCGGTATGGATTCGATGATGCACTTGCATGTGTAAGGCTTTTCCCCAGTGTGAATTCTCTGATGTGTGGTGAGGACTGATTTGTGGCTGAAGGCCTTCCCACAGTCAGAACACACATAAGGTCTCTCACCTGTGTGTTTTCGATGATGTACCTTCAGTTGGGATGCATTACTGAATGACTTCTTGCAGTCTGGACATTCATAAGGTTTCTCTCTCATGTGAAGGTCATGGTGTACCTGTACGCTGGATGTACAACTAAACACCTGACATTCAGGACATTCAAAATGCTTCTCTCCTACGTAAGTTCCTGGACAGTATGGCAGCTCTGAGTTCAAGAGGAAGGCTTTCCCACATGTGTTAGACACAAAAGGTGTCTCCCAAGACGTAGTTATTTGATACCGACAGAAAGCTGATCTGCCAGTGAAGACCTTCCCATATCCAATATATTCAACTGGCTTGTCTTGGAAAATAATTTTATGCTGTGTAAGTGCTTGCTGAGGGCTGAGAAGTGTTCCAAACTGATTACCTCTGGGTGGTTTCTCTCCTCTGCTAGGAACTGTGCACACAGCATTCGAAGAGCCTTGTGTGCAGAACTGATGAGCTCCAACTGTGTTGGGAACCTGGCCTGTGGTACCCAGTTCATTACCACCATTCACTTTAGGCTTCACACTTTTTGCAAATGAGCAACATCTTACAGGTCCCTTTTGTGCAGTGATGAGGTGGGGTCCCAGACAAGTGGCTTCTCCAGGCTCTTCACATTCATAACCATTGTCTGTGATCAGTGTCTTCTGACTGAGGGAAGAACCACGACTCACGGGTAGGATCTTGTTTTGTTGGTCTCTCTTTATAGGGTCACCATCCTGCCACAGTTCTTCTAAAGTGGAACACCATGAATCATGTCTTGTGACTTCACTTGGCACATCCTTTAGAAATGAAGGCCTCACAGAGATGTGTTGCTGTGATGTATCAATCTCTGATTCCCCTGCTAAGAGGAAAAAGACATGAAGTAGGCACTGAACAGGATGGGGAGGGACCACATGGAGCTGAGTCTGAACACAAAGAAAGCTGAGCTGGGTCATATGATGGCTGATTTCAATTGGAAATTTGGTAGGAGCTGGAATCATCTGGGAAGGAAGTCTCATTGAGGGACTGTGTACATTAGGCTGGACAATGAGGGATTTTTCTTAACTGGGTTAACTGGGATGAGAACAATCCTTAACGTGGGCAGCACCATTTTGTGGGCAGAATCCTGGACTGAGAGAAAAGGAGGGACGAGCATCAGCTCTGCATGTGAAGCTGCTCCCATCTTTTTACTGCAGAAGAAAAGTGACCAGTGGGTTCGAGGTGCTGTTGCTTTGATTTCCTCACCATGATGGTCACATCGAACTTTGACACAAAAAAGAAACTACAAAAGGCGTTAATGATGCTGGTGATGGTAACAATGCCGGGAAATGACTTGCCAAACGTGCACAGCACTTGTCTGTGCTAGGGTACTTTCTACGCAGTAGATATATAAACTCAAAACCACCCCTAAGACATCTAGACCTACTCTTCCCAGTTTATAAATGAGGAAGTGAAGCACAGAATGTTCCAGTCAGTGACCAGCAGAGCTTAGCTAATTCGTGGGAAGATTTGGTCTGGTGAAAGACAACCAGCTCAACCTGTCTAAGAGACCTAACATCCGAGTTTGTCTCTCCATTGCTGTGACAAAACACCAACGCCCAACTTGGGGAAGAAAGGGCTTATTTGGCTCACACCTCCCAGGTCACAGTTCATCAGGGAACCCAAGGTAGGAACTCAGGGCAGGAACCTGGAGGCTGGAGCTGGAGCACAGGCCATGGAGGAATGCTGCTTACTGGCTTGCTCCTCTGGCCCCTGCTCAGCCTGCTTTCTTATGCAACACAGGCCCACCTGCCAAGGGGTGGCACCACCCACAGTGGGCTGGGCCTCCCCCATCACTCAACCATCAAGAGAGTACCCCACAGACATGGCCAAGGCCAGTCCAATGGAGGCAATTCCCCAGTTGAGGCTCCTTCTTCCCAGGTGTGTCAAGTTGACACTAAAGCTTCCAGCACACCTAGTGACATAGATGTAGAAGACCACGTAGGGAGAAAACAGCCAAGGCTGTTACAGGACACTCGGTGGACAGCCACAGTCTGAAGAAGGAATCAGAACAGGAGAGTCCAGTAGCTCCAGAGAAATGCATATTCATGTCCTTTGCCCATTTCTCATCTAATTAAGTTTCTGTTTCATGTTTTCTTGCCCCACACCCTCCATTGAGTGGTGGGGATCAAATGTAGACCTCCTGTATGCTAACCAAGTATTCTATCCTGAGCTACACACCTACACCCTCAGAGCTTTACTTCTAAAGAGCACTTTTACAGTCCTGGCTTTGCTAATTCTCCTGATAGTACACTTTCTATCCCCTAACATCTATTTGGAATATTTAAAATTTTTTATTTCATAGAGATTCTAAGAATCTCTTCCTGCTCCCTAAGGACGAGGGCTGAAGTTTGATCCTCAGCCTCCTTGTAAGAACTGGGCACGGTGCTGTGCGACTGTTTTCCCAGTACTTGGAGGGCAAGACAGGAGATCTCTGAGGTGTGCTATGTATTGAGTCTAGCTGAATTGGCAAGCTGCAGGCTGGTGCTTCTAAAACAGGGCAGAACAGTACCTTTTGCCTGTTTAGAAATTCAAAATACATATTTGTATTTATTGAAGTTGGTGTCTACAGGGTTAAATTTGAAGTGACAAAACTAGTATGGAAGAAGACAAGCTGATCAACAGGTCACAAGCCACAGGGAGCACCTACTCAGCAGACGTGGAGGATGGGGAGCACCTATGCAGCAGATGCTGAGGACGGGGAGCACCTACGCAGCAGATGCGGAGGACGGGGAGCACCTACGCAGCAGACGCGGAGGACGGGGAGCACCTACGCAGTAGACGCGGAGGACGGGGAGCACCTACTCAGTAGACACGGAAGATGGGGACCACCTACGCAGTAGACACGGAGGACAGGGAGCACCTATGCAGCAGACGCTGAGGACAGGGAGCACCTACACAGTAGACATTAGTGAACATATAACAACAGCTGCTCGGAGCACAAGTGGGGAACTCAGGTCCTTTAAATGGGAAATGTAGGGGCTGGAGAGACGGCTCAGGAGTGCAGAGCACTGGCTACTCTTGCAGAGAACTCAAGTTCTATTCCCAGCAGCCACATCAAGGCTAGCAATCATCCTAACTCTAGTCCAGGGAATTTGATACCCTCTTCTGACCTTTGCAGGTCTATATAGTGAATTTCAGGACAGCTGGGGCTACAAGGACACCCTGTCTCAAAAAGACAAAAATAAATAAATAAATAAACACAAATAAATAAATAAACAAACAAACCCCTCCCCCTAGATAACAGCATGTTTGCATCAAAATCTATGAAAAAGACAGGAACGGAGGAATACTTGCCATAATAGAATCTGTTGAGCAGAATCTTGGCTGATTCCTAACTGAAATCCACAAATTTCATTAGGAATGAAACACCCAAATAAGAATACAGGGAGTTAGTTTGGACTGATCCTTGGGGAATTAGGAAAAAATGAATATTGATTGTATATTGGAAAATAAAAATGAGTAGAAATTCTAAAGCAATACATTTGAGAACCAACAGAGAAGTCAAAATTACTCAGATGAAAAAACTTTCTAACGTGGATGAGGATGATCTCAATTTCTGACCTTTCAAAACCAAGGACGGGGCTGGCAAGATGGCTCAGTGGTTAAGAGCACTGGCTGTTCTTGCAGAAGACCTGGGTTCAAATCCCAGCACCCACATGACAGCTAACAACAGTCTGTAACTCCAGTTCCAGGGGAATTCAATCTTCTGTCCTCTATGGCACTGCATGACATGGGTGTATTTACATACGTACAGAGAATACAATACACATAAAATAAAAATAAATAAATCAAAACCAAGGAAGGGAGCCATTTCATAGGAACTGTCCTCAAGTAGTTAAATACAGCAGCAGATACATTATGTGTACAGGGACTGAAGATAATAATACAAAAATCATTTGAATATACATATGCACCAAACATTCAGAATCCAAGAGCCCTTTAACGCATCTCCTAGTGAATGTATGACAATAAGAACACATAAAACAATAACATCGAAGGCCCACAATTAGGGAGAAACAAACAAGGTCCAGCACAGAAAAGAGCACTAGTGATGGAAGCCCCCTCCCCTGGAGGCGGGCCCTCATGGCTTTGGAGAGCACTACGTAAGCTGTTAAGGGAGAACATCAGTCGATGGTCCAACCCCAGCTTCAAGGCCTAAAACCACATCAATGACCAGCACAGCTTACAACATTGGTGCAGTAGTGGCACTTTTATCTTGGGGGGTAATCAGCAACTACTTAATTGGACTTAAAGCCCACTCAATGGGAGGAAACTCACGTCACCACTGGAAACCCAGCCAAATACACATAGCTGGAGAGGTCATAGATCTTAGGGAAAACCCCAAGGCTCTCATATCCTTAGACAAATGTAATTTCTTACTCTGTGCAAAATATGGATCCTTAAATTTACAGACAAGTATCTCAGTCACCACCCATCAAAGCAGCTTCTTTTCCAACAGACAGAGATTATTACAGAGTTACACCACTAGTCACACACAGATTGTCTGTGAATTGCCCAACTCTAAGTGGCACATCTAGGATGCAACCTCTACACCTAAGACTCACGGAACATAGAACAAGGGATGAAGAGAACACTAATGTATCTTTCAACTCTCAACAATGAAGCTCCCTCATGCAACAGAGGGTAAGGGACACAAAAGGTCACAAATGGTCAAAACACAGAATGAGAGTCTGCAGAGTGTGGGTCCTTGGACAGGGCTCCTACATTGAGGTCCGCCTACCCAGGGCTCCAGGACCATTTCAGAAAAGGGGGTGGAAAGACTAATTGCCAGGGAGGAGGTACCCGACCATAGGGAAATGGTCCTACAGGCGCCTGGGACCCTTCTCTTATAAACCTACAGCAATGGTGTCAGCACGCACAAGACCCATGCAAACTTAGGCAGACAAAAACCCAGCACAGAACTGTGGAAATGAACAGCAGGCTCCAAACTTAGTCAAAGAATCATTGGCAGCTGACTACTGCTGGGTGAGGAAGAGCTGATGTCGAAGGGAGAGACTCTAAGTAGCTGACTAAACCCCGGTGGATGAACTTGCACTGAGGGACATCTCAAGACACTAACTCTCCATGATAGGCCTTAACACAAATGACAGAATGTATGAACTCCAGTGTGGGGGTATGGGAGGTGCCAAAGGGAAGGGTGTAAAGTATGAAGATGATTTTCTGTATGAAACACACAGAAACTTTAAACATTGTGTGTTGGGGACCCCTGCTGTGTAAAGTAGTAGTTTCTCCATGTCCGGATGGCCTATGGGCTCAGTCTTGAATGCAGAGACTCCTTTTAACAGCAGTGTGTCTTTCTTAGCATTTTTTATAGGCCAAATGTACAAGAAAGTTCCAGACCTCAGGATCAGATATGTCTGCTGATAAGATCCAGGGTGCAAACCAATACACCTCATTCCAAAATTTTAAGCTTTCCTCTTTGGAAATTTTAAGTCCTCTAGATTTAAGCAGGGTTTTAAGGGAACGAATTTGGCGTTTTCTCTGGCGTGATGCTGAATTTCTCATTATGAAGGGAAGATGTTTTTACAGCAGTCGGACCCTAGAGGGCTTGGAGCGTCTTGGCAAGTCACAAGCCTCTAGGTTTGCAGAAAAAAAGTGTTACTTTTAAATCTGGCCGTGAGCCATCGTGAATTACCAGGTGCTCGGCAGGGGCTTGTTAATTTAAATTCTCACTTAACCAGTTTCAGCTGTGGTTTGAATGCCCTGGGGCAGGGTAACAGAGCTGACTAGAGAAATCTGCCTTAGAAGCTGACTTTAAGGAACTTTGGGGATTTTCCTAGCAGTGTTGAGATAGAAAAAGTGGGGTGAAGTGATGGTCCCCAAGGGAACGTTCCTGAAATTAAAATTTCAGGGGATTCTATTTTGGCTTCCAGCACAGGCCTGCCCACAAATTTGAGGAACTGGCGGCCGCCCTATGGCTTTTAACTGGCCGTTGTGTCACCAGGTTTTTGATATTAGAGAGATATCTAGATAGAGGTCTTTTGTCTACACCTGTACAGGCAGTCGGAGGTCGCTAGGGGGCAGAGGAGCCTTCGGTTAACGTCAAGGAGTGGCTCTGTCCAGGAAACCTCAGTTGCTTCCTCTGTCTTTAGTGTTCTCACACGAAGACTTCAGACTGGAAACAAAAGTAGGAAATTTAGAAGAGATTTTTATTACCCTCCTGGTGGGGGAGGGATACTCACGAATCCTGCATTTCCGTGGGCACCAGCTCCTAGCTGGCACGAGGTTCAGAGGCCCCATGTTGGGCGCCAGGTATGGGGAGCGCGCTGGGCTCTCGGGGCCCCTGCGCGCACCTGGAGAGTCGTGGCACGGGTCCCGCGGGCTTCTCCGCCGTGCCGCGTCCCATGTCACTGTCCGCCGCTGCAGTGCTGAAAGTCCCTGCTGCCGGGGCTTTTGCCCGGCCGGGTCCCGCCCTAATTTCACCCGTGCACTTTCCTCAAGATGCGAAATCCACCAGCGGAGCGCGCTGGGCTCTCGGGGCCCCTGCGCGCACCTGGAGAGTCGTGGCACGGGTCCCGCGGGCTTCTCCGCCGTGCCGCGTCCCATGTCACTGTCCGCCGCTGCAGTGCTGAAAGTCCCTGCTGCCGGGGCTTTTGCCCGGCCGGGTCCCGCCCTAATTTCACCCGTGCACTTTCCTCAAGATGCGAAATCCACCAGCCGCTGGATCACACGGGAAAGTGCGGGGCGGCTAAAGCTGGGTGTCCGTGAGTCAATGACGGGGGAATACCACACCCCTGGGGAGACTGGAATGCAGGCAGGGAGACACAGGATTCAGCTTTCCGTTACAGCTCTTTATTCCAAGTCTCAGTGTCCCAGCTCTAGTTCCTAGCTCCAGCTCCACTTCCAGCTCCAAATATTGAGGGAAAACCAGGGAACTTTATACTGTGGAGGTAGTGGTAAAAGCTTTAGCTGATAGGCACTTTGTGAGACACCCTATTTACATATGGAAGTGAACTCCTGCCTCGCTGCTAGACTGCCAGAAAAATCACACAGGAAAGCATGGCATTTCCAGAGCCAGAGGCCATGTTTACGGTAGGGCATCTGTGGCGGTCACTTCAAAAGGTGAGTCAGGAAAAAATGCTAGGAAAGACATACTGCTGTTAAAAGGAGTCTCTGCATTTAAGACTGAGCCCATAGGCCATCCAGACATGGAGAAACTACTACTTTACACAGCAGGGGTCCCCAACAATTATGAACGAATGGGGAGAGCAGAGCAGAAAAACTGCAGGCCACAGAATGGTAAAGCAACACAACAAGCACAGAGGAGCCAGGCCACATGTAGAAATGCTCCACTCACGTAAATGATATATGTTAGAACAAGGAAGCAGCTCTTTTACATACTATGGGCAACAGGGCAACCCACCTGGCTAGTGCTGAGCACTGACAAACAAGATGTAAAGCACAGACATGAACCATGCACACCTGCACAAGGCACTGGGAATCTTTTTTTTTTCTTCTTCTTCTTTTTGAAGCAGGGTCTCCCTGTAGCCCCAGCTGACCTGGAACTCACTATGTAGACCAGGCTGGCCTTGAACTCACAGAGATCCGCCTGCCTCTGCCTCCCAAGTGCTGGAATTAAAGGCATGTGACACCATGTGTGGCTTGTACTACGAATTTTTATAGACCATTAGAGGATGTGGATGAATCAGTCACCTGGGATATATCTGCATGATGAAGTCTCTATTACCCAGAATCCACCTTTGAGGAAGTCTTACCCTGCCCTCTACTGCACACTTACTGTGAAAACTGGGAGTGGGAGGCACCTTGGTGTGCACCTCTGAGCGGATGGTAAACAAGCAGGCTGATGACACCCCTAACGATCTGCCTGCACCTGGTACCAGTCACTCACCTTCACACTGACACCTCTGATGTGGGAATGCGACCTCTCCCACCTGTGCCTCCTTTACTTTTTCCATCCTGACGATGACCTGTGGCCTGGCATACCCTGTGAATTGGAAGGACACCCAGAGTCTGTGCAGCTTCTTATGTGTTAGAGGGTAACCGATGAACTTTGTTCTGGCTAACTGTAAAAGTCAACATTATCTACTGGACACAAAGTAGTACTTGCAGGTGCCCCAAAGGAGGGACACATCAGGACAAAACAAATAAAAAGTCATGGACTAGTTCCAATATTTCACCATGGGAAATAAGGCCCCTCCTCCGTCCCCAGCCAGCTGTGCTCACCCACTGACAAGAGGTGGCTGTAGATCTCCAGCATCACGTCCTGGTACAAGCGTCTCTGGGCGGGGTCCAGGCGCTGCCACTCCTCCTGGGTGAAGTCCACAGTCACATCCTCAAATGACACCAACCTCTGTAACAACATACCCACTTCACTGTGAATTAGCACTGACCAATAGGGCATTACATGCAAGGATGTGTTTTTAGTGATTTTGGCCCAGTATGCATCATGAAATGTCCCACAAAATACCTATTTCACATTGTATTTTGGCAAATAAAGTACATAAAAATATCCTGACAACTACTATCACTGACATTTTTTATTCTCAAGTAGGACAGAAATGGGTTAGCAGTAGAGGCAGTAATTGGTCTTCTGCCCACTGGTCTCTGAGGAGGGAGCACCAGGTCTGCAGAAGAGCCCCAAGCAGCTTCAGCCAAGAAGCAGCAGGAAATGAAAGATAGTGACTGGTCCAGAGCAATCTGAGGAAGTAAAATTGAAAGTATTTCTAAAAATTAAAACATTTAAAAATTTATAGAGGACAAAAGTCTTGATTGTGAGGATGACTGCCTGGTGGAGATGAAGTATGAGCAGCTTCCGGCCACAACTCCAGAGGCCAGGGTAGGGCAGAGCACAGTCCAGTGCTCGGAGCCTTCCCCAGTGACTCCAGGATGCTAGCGAGCAGGGCCGGCTGAGGCAGCACCCTGACTCTCCTTCCCGTGCCCCTGTGGACTTTGTCTCCTTTCACTCACTGGTCACTGGAGACTGACAAGCTCTGCAGGTTGCCCTAGCGCGGCTGGAGCTGTCAGGGCATGCACTTACATCCTGGTTTTGAGGAGTTTGACAGTGCACTGGGGCAAAGGGCATGCTACAGGAACGGAGGAAACCCATGTGAGAATAACTGCGGGTATTACCTGACACCATGTAAGACCGGTTCCAGCAAGTTTCAGTTTTTTGTTTTGTTTCGTTTGAGACAGGGTCTCACTCAGTATCCTTGGCTGGCCTGCAAGTCACTATATAGGCTTGGCTTGGCGTCGCACTCACAGAGCCCCACCTTCCTCTGCCTCCCAAGTACTGGGATCAAAGGTGCGCACCACCGTCCCCAGCCTGTTTTACAGTTTTGATGTCCCGGCTCTCCTTCCTTCATTGTGGTTATAGCTTTGGATGTTACACTCACTTAGTATAACCTCTGCTACATTGATTTTTTTCCCCAGTATTTACATTCTGGATTTTGTAAAACAGAAGTTTAAGACCACAAGTTGGAAGAAAAGTCACATAATTCAGATACAAGATGGGCTCCAAAGGATGTAACTGCTTTATCCTGGAACCTATTTTCTGTGGTAACCCGTATGCATGTTGTTGAGGCTAATGCTATTCTGCAGCTCTGTGGAGTTGGGACACCCTTCACTGTTGAAGATGTGAAGTGCGTGTGCGTCAACTGCCACATTCTCTGCTTCATTTTCGTAAATATAATAGTTTCATACATGTAAAAAGATTAAGCAGCATAACAGTTATTAAGCGACATTATGCCTGTCTGTAGTTGTGTTGGGTCCCTGGTTCAACATTATAAGAACTTCTGCATTTTTGGAAAATGAATTCTTATTTATTCATTTAACTCTGTGTGTGTGTGTGTGTGTGTGTGTGTGTGTATGAACTGGTTCTCTCCTTCCAACATTTTGGTCCCAGGGATCAAACACAGGTCACCAGGCTTGGCCTAAGTACTTTTACCTGCTAAGTTATCTCACCAGCCTTGTGAATTCTACTCTTACAGAAATTAAGAGAATTGCAAAACAGGAAACATAAAGACCCAAGTGCAGGACTGAAAAAGAACACCTTAGAATTATACACAAAGTGGGGCTGGCGAGATGGCTCAGCAGTTAAGAACACTGGTTATTCTTGCAGGAGGCCCCGATTCGAATCCCAGCACCCCGCTAACAACTGTCCGTAACTCCAGTCCCAGGGGACCTGACAGCCTCTTCTGACCTTCTCGGGCATTGCACGACATGGGTGCACTTACCTACATGCAGGCAATACATGCGTACACATAAAATAAAAATAATAAGGGCAAATTAGGGAGCATTTGCCATACTACTTGGTGTAGAGCAGCTTAAACTGGACATGAGATGTCTAAAGTGGGATGTGGAGAACATCCTGTTCCAGAAAAGAATGAGTGAAGATCACATTTAACATCACAGGAGAGAAAGGACCAGACACGATCCTGCACCTGGCAGGAGAATGTCTCCTACGGGCTCCAAGTAGTCCAACTCTTTGTCCCCAGTTGGTGGTGCTATGTGGGGAGAATCCAGGAACCTTTAGGAAGTGTGGCCTTGTTGAAGGAAGCACTTCATGAGGGTGGGTTTTGAGAGCATATGGCTTGTCTACGGCCATACCACCCTGAACACATCCGATCTCGTCTGATCTCGGAAGCTAAACAGGGTTGGACACCTTGCCCATTTCTAGCCTGTGTCTCTCTACTTCTTGTGCCTGCTTCAAGGTATGAGTCCTAAGCCAGGCTTAGTGGTGGGTTGCAGGCGAGAGAGAGTGTGTCTGTAATCCAGATGCCTGAGTCACCCAGCTCTCATAAGCAAGCCGAAATCATCTCATTGGTTGGCCAGCCTGGGCTGGATGTATTTGCTCCTTTGACTTATCCTTCCCTCTCTATCTAGCCTCCCAAGAAGTCAATGACAGAGGGATGCATCTGATCCCATGAGGCAAGAAAAGAGCACATCATAAATCACTGAGGGAGATGGGGCCCCCTCTGGTCCACTCTCCCTGGGGGATCAAGGCCATCTCAGGACCGGGAGCCCAGATCCTGCAGCTTGCAGTGTCTGCACTCAAGGAATGGAACTCCGGGCACCTCTCCTCACCTCACAGGACCAGTGTCGCTCTGCAGCTCCTGGTCTCTGGGGCTTCCGGCAGGAATTCACGTCAGCAGGCGGGTCCTCTGAGGCTTCTACACTTGGTCCTCCCTGATTCCCTCAGGACTGGAAAGGAGGTAAGCACGGGGAGGCACCAAGTAGAGCTTCCGGGAAGCCCAGCTGTCACATGGAGGGAAATCTGCTGGACGAAGGATTTGGCCTGATCCAAGGGTCAGAGAACAGAAAGGAAAGCCCTGTAAGTCAATGACCATGTCTGTCATTTGCCCATGACGTTTCTGAAGGTCATACCTGGAGGTCATTATGTAGAAGTTGCAGAAAAGATAAATCCCAGAAACTCCAAATAGTTCCTCCTATCTTCTTAAATTTTATTTTACATGTCTGAGTGCTCTACTTACATGTAAGTGTACCACTTGTGTGCAATACTCATGGAGGCCAGAAGAGGGTGATGGAGCTCCTGGAACTCAAGTTATGAACTGTCAGCCACTATTGGTGCTGGGAACCGAACACCAATCCTCTGCAAGAGCAGCCGGTGCTCTAACCACTGAGCCATCTCTCCAGCCCTCCTTCTCTCACTTTGAACTGTGAGAAGAGAAAGATATTGAAGGAGAACAGCAGGAAGAGATTAAGAACTCTCAGGGATGAGGTCTGGACATTTCTTGAAAACAAGAATGTTGGGCTCAGTGGAACACTGCCTTAGTCATGGATCAGAGAAAAACATAAGTCTAAGTCATGGTACTGCAACACATAGGATGTCTATTTAATGTTAGACATAATCAATAAGTGACTGTCCTTCCTGGAAATTGTTAAAATCTATAGACTGTGTAAGAAACTGATATACTCTTTGCAGCCTACTGACTAACTTTAAATGTAAACCTGTAGAATGTGCTTTATTCTCTGTGAAACTAATTCTCTCATGTATCCTGGCACAAACATCAAGCTTGTAACTGTAGTTCTGAGAGTATAAAAAAGCACTGCTAAAGAATTAAACTCACTCCTCCCCACCTGAGGTTGAGTCCTGTGCCTTCACTCATTCCATCCATTCACCAGCAGACCTGAGTCTCTGTAGGATGTTAAGTACAATGAAGTATGCAAGGTGAAGTTGTAGGTATGGTTCATAGGCATTGGGGATCTGATGCAGAATGAGGGTCATCGAGCCCTCAGCACCTGCCTGTCAGGTAATACATACAATTAAGTCTGTTAGCTATCAGCTTAATGTTCATGGAGTCTCTTTAGCTGTGGGTCATAGGTATTAATCTACTTGATTTTGTAAAGTGCTGGTAAATAAGACCTGTGCTGTTCCCTTCCCATAATTTTACTCGAAGTTACCAAATGGAAGAGCAGGTCAGTCTACCTTTGCCTCATACAAAATGACACACTGTTCCTGCTATTTTACATGGTCCATCATGTTGTGAACATCCAGAAACAACCTTCCCATTTCCTACTGTCTTCAGGGACGTAAGAAGGGTGAGAGCTGGTTCACAGTCCAGGTGGGAGCTTCTAGACACTTCTGCTTCTTACTGATTGGGTCTCCATACATAGTCTCTTCAGACATGTAACTTAAATTCACTGACTGGGACACAAATTCCCCAGAACAGGGAAAGCTGCAGACACCCACCAGGACCTGGACCTCTTGTGTAAGCCCCTCCTTCCTTCCTTCCTTCCTTCTGGATTGGAGAGATGGCTCAGCAATGACAAGTGCTGACTGCTCTCACAGAGGACCAGATTCCAGTTCCCAGCACCCACTTCGGGCTGCTCACAACCACCTGGAACTCCATTCCAGGGGAATCCAATGCCTTCTTCCGGTCTTCAGGAGTCACTGATCTCACATGCACATAACCCCACACAGACATGATTAAAACTAAGATCTTAACCACTAAGCCATTTCCCCAGGTATAAACTAAAATAAATCTTAAAAATACATTGGAGCCAGGTGTGATGGTGCAGGCAGATCTGTTGTGAGTTCAAGGTTAGACTGGTCTCCATACTGAGTTCCAAGCCAGCTGGGACTATAGGGAGACCCTGTCTTAAAAAGACAAAAAAAGCCAGGTGTGATGGTGCACGCCTTTAATCCCAGCACTTGGGAGGCAGAGGCAGGCGGATCGTTGTGAGTTCGAGGCCAGCCTGGTCTACATAGTGAGTTCTAGGACAGCTGGGGCTACAAGGAGACCCTGTCTCAAAAACAAGACCAAAAAAAAAAAAAAAAGACAAAAATTCTGGACACAACCCTGTGCACCTGCCATAACAGAAGCACTGGGGAGGTGGATACACGAGACTTTCTGGTCTTGCCAGCCAGCCAATCTATCAAATTGGGAAGCTTCAGGTTCAGTGAGACCCAGTCTCAAAAACTAAGGTGGAGGGGCTGGAGAGCTGGCTCAGCAGTTAAGAGCCCTGGTTGCTCTTGCAGATGACCCAGGTTCAATTCCCAAAACCATCCATAACTCCATTTCCAGGGGAATCTGATGCCCTTTTTGACCTCTGAGGGCATTGCATGACACAGGTGCACTTACAAACATGCAGGCAATACACTCATACACATAAAATAAAAATAATATACACAACAGAGAGGATTTCAGGAAGACAACTGACATCAACCTCTTGCTTTCATGTGTACTCATGCACACAGATGAGCACCCACACCCATACTGACCAAAAAATAAAATAAGTCACTGGAACACCAGGAAGTCTGGTTAAGCCAATGCAGGGCAATCTGTTATAGGTTTCAGAGAGTATTTGATGACACTCAGATACTGTTTGTTGGAAGCTAGGAAGTGGTCTGTGAGTATATTTCAGAGGGATTTACCTAATAGTCACAGGAGTAGTTGTTAGGGGAAACACAGGGTTGGGAATGGCTACCAAGGGTGCCAAGACAGTCAAGAACTGCACATATGAGTTCTCTGCATCACAGAAGTTATGAGTGTTTTGCCTTCATGTATATTAGTGCACCTGTAATGCCTGTGAAGCCATAAAAGGGTGTCAGACCCTTGGGAACTGGAGTTAAAAAAGGTTGTTAGCTATCATGTGGGTGCTGGGAATCAAACCTGGGTCCTCTGAGGAGCAGCCAGTGCTCCTGAACACTAAGTCATCTGTCCAGCTTCTTAAAGAATCTTTAGGCTGGAGCGTGGCACCTCATGCACAGGCACACTTGTGGCTTTGCCCAGCCACAAAAAACAAAACAAACAAAAAACAACAACAACAACAAAAAAACCAAGAATCTTTAAAGTAGGTGGGGCTTGCCTTTTTTTTTTTTTTTTTCTTCTGGGAACTTCAGTCCACATGTTGCAGGCCTATAATCCCAGTACCCTGGAGGTGGAGGCAGAAAGGATTGGGGAAACTTAAACCCAGCCTGATTTATAAATGGAGTTTCAGGCCAGGCAGGGAATGAAATGGGCTGGAGAGATGCCTCAGCGGTTATAGGACTGGCTGCTCTTTTAGAGGACCCGGGTTCAGCTCCCAGCACCCACAGGGTGGCTATCAACGCTGCAACTCCAGTTCCAGGGGATCTGACACCCTCTTCTGACCTCCACAAGCACTTACATACATATACATAAGATAATAAAAATAATAAATATTTTAAAAATATATAAAGGCTGGGTGTGGCGGCACATGCCTTTAATCCCAGCACTCAGGACACAGAGGCAGTTGAATCTCAGGGAGTTCAAGGCCAGCCTGGTTTACATAGTGAGTTCCAGGTCAGCTGGGGCAACAGATTCTGTTTCCACCACCCCACCCCCAAACCCCAAGGTTAGCCTCTGGCAACCCAGGAGACTTGACATTTGCATAAGTCGACATATCCATTTGCCTTCAAATAAATAAAAAATGAAACACACAGAAGCTGCTTCTAGAAAAAAGAAAGAGCATTCGGTCTTTCTCCCTTACTTTGGCTCAGACTTTCCTTCTCACTTCCCTGCAGACCTCCAACTTGCAGTGATCCTCCAGCCTCCGCCTCCTGAGAGTTGGATTACAGGAGGGAGTCACCCCACCCCACCCCACAGGACTAATCTATTTACATAACGTTTCACCTGTGCGACCCACGTCTCCAGTCAGCTCAGCGCAGGAAGCCCACGTGGGGCACTGGGTACATCCTCTCTTCTGTCCAGTGTGTTGGGTGAGACGTAATCTCCCAGTCAACCCATCAGGCCTGTTACACAGTGGCCAACCCTAGCCAGTTGGGGTTGCAGAATCCCCCACTTCTCCCTAAACCCCCCTTTTCTACAGCACCATTGTGCTCATGGGCCAATCACACATCTTCACCGCGTCAGTAGGGTCAATGGAGAGGCCAGCACCGGTCACCGGTGCTCCTGCAAAGGACCCCAATATTCATATAAATTCGCTTTGGGAATTAAGTTTTTAAACATTTTTCTTTTTCAGCTTCAATTTCCTGCAGGGAATATGGGGAAAGGAAATGGACAGAAGCCCGGGTCCCCACCACCAGCGCAAAGACTTATATCCCAAGAGCCTGAGGATGCTGCATTTGGGTCAAAATGCAAATCACTTCACTTCCCCATTTTCTATTCAGGCAGGCTGACTGGTGTTCGGACCCAGGGTCAGGCCTTACAGCCGAGGACTGCTTAAACACTACCTAGCCAGAAAGCCATGCAGTCGCCCACAGACACCCCTACCCCCAGGCCTGCAGGCTGCGGGCTCCATCCTTAGCGTCCCAGCAGCAGCCACAGATGGGCATCTGGACCTGTCACTCAGCACAAACCCCCATCACCTCCCAGCATCCTCCCGGCGCCTCCACTCACCGCACGCTGCGGCCCGTTGCCGGGCGGCGGGATCTTCAGGCTACGGAAGCCGAGAAGCCCCAGAGTTCAGAATCCAAACTCCTACAGGATCTCAGCAACGCAAACTGAATCCGGTGACCTGAGACCTAAGTAGATATGACGCCTTGGGTCACTTCCGGTTACTAGGAATTATGGTTTCTTCAGCCTTCCCCCCCCCCCGCCCCCCAACCAGGACGGCGATGCGCATGCTCACAGCCACTCACGAGGTTGTACCTGCCAGTACTAATCATGGCTGATGAGCTGGGTTTGTACTTTGAGAAACTGCCCTGGCGCTGCCTGCAAGCCACTTTCTATGTCAGTTTCTATGTCAGTTCCGAACAGCTGGGGAAGGCAAGTGGGATATCAGAGTAAAAGTCCCAGGCTGGCTCACATTGGCAGGGGGTGTATTTACTACTTGTCTGTACCTGTATTTCTTTTTCTTTATGTCTTTTTGAGACAGGGTCTCCTTGTAACCCCAGCTGGCCTGGAACTCACTATAGACCAGGCTGGCCTCAAACTCACAGAGATCCTCCTGCCTCTGCCTCCCAAGTGCTGGGAATAAAGGCATGCACCACCACAGGGTCTTATTTCTAAGAGATGGGGACATTACTTATTCCTAAAAAATACCTTTTCTCTGTATTTTGGCAGGAACTGGGGTTCTTTTACACTGAATTGAAAACTAAGTGGGATTGTTGCAAAAAATGAAGTGTAGAACAGGGAGCATTAAAGGTGAGGGTCTGGAATGAATCATGTGAATGAAAAAGTTCCCTGAAAACTCCCAGTGCTGTAGAATGAACGCCCATGGACTTCAAATGGAGAATATGAGAATAAGCGATGTAATCGTGTGAGGTATCTCCAAGGTTGACTAGTCCAGACTGGCCTGGAGGTCTCTGTGTAGACCAGGATGGCCTTGATTTTGTAGTGATCTGCCGGTGCCAGCTGGCCAAGACGGATAATACCTGAAAGGGGGAGTGAGGGTTGAAAGAAAAAACAAGAGACAGAAAAGATACTTGGGAGAACTGTCAGTAGAGACTGCAGCCCTGTTTATTTTAGCTCCACCTTTTTATACAGAAGAACATCAGAGATAGCCACTGTTTGCTTAACTCAATTAATTTCAACAGCTGTTTTTTCCCACCTGTATCTGAGGGTCAGGAGCAGTCAAATACTTGTTGTGAGCTCCACCAAATAAACACATTCCTCCTGACTTGGCAGATTAGGTACTGGTGTGCAAAACACAAACTCAGTAAACAATCCTGCCACAGCTCAATGTACATAATGGATTAATAGCTCCCAACAGTGATCCTCCTACCTCAACCTCCCAAGTGTGGGGATTACAGGCAAGTGCCTCCTTACCCTGTTCCTGTATGGTTTTGATCTTCCCATTGAGAACAGACTATAGGAGTGAGGCTCTTGTGAGCAGAGTTTTAGGACCAAAAGTACAGCTTTGGGAGTTCTAGAAGACTTGGCTCAGCCATTTTTCTCAAAGTCAAAATTATAATAAAACCACATAAAAGATTTAAGGCAAAGTCAGTTTCACTCATGACAGCACTCTTGCAGAGTCAAACACTGTCCATGAGCCATGGAATGGGGAGTCCACTGCAGAGTGGGAGCAAGTTCTAGTTCCCCTTCTGTTGCTGTGATAAACCATGACCAAAAGCAACTTGGGGGCAGGAAGGGTTTAATTTGGCTCACAAGCTGTAGTCCGTCACTGAGGATAGTTGGAGCAGGAACTCACTGAGGAACCTGAAGCTGAAATATGGACACATTCTGCTCACTGGCAGAACTATGCCTAGCTAGCTTTGTACAGCCTAGGGCCACTTGCCCAGGGAATGGTGTCACCCAGAGTGGGCTAGGCCCTCTTCTTGATTAATAAAGACAAGCCCTCACAGACATGCCCACTGGCCAATCTGATTTGGAATTTCCTCAATTGAAACTCCTTGAGTGACTCTAGGCTGTATCAAGTTGACAGTTAAAGCTAACTAGGAAAGAGGACTTAACCTCTTTCTAAGTACTAAAATTATTTAGTATTTTTATTTATGTGTATGAGTATATTGCCTACAAGTAGGTAAGTGCCCCCGTTGTTCAGTGGTCAAGGAGGTCAGAAGGCGTTGGATGCCCTGGAACTGGAGTTGCAGAGGATTATTACCCACCAGGTGGGTGCTGGGAATCGAACCCAGGTCCTCTGCAAGAGCAACCCAGGCCCTCTGCAAGAGCAACCACTACTCTTAACTGCTGAGCCATCTCTCCCACCGAAGGGAGCACTTGCCTTTTACAGTTGACGGGCCACCACTGTCAATCAGGAGGAAATACTGTGTTTCCCTCTTTGCACTTGATGGGACTGAACCGGTTAGTAGCTACAGAAGCTGCCCTGGGAGTGTGGACCTAATTTTCATTACCTGTTGGCCTGTGCTGACCACACTCATGAAATCACATCCCATTGTGCAAAACTGTTCACTGTGTTGTTCTTGATAAATCACACTTCACTTTCTTGCCCACACTGACATGCTACACATTTTCTGATCCTTTTTTCTGCTTAGTTATATTTGTCTTTAATGTCTGACTGTCCCACCAGGCTATAGAGTGTGGAGAGACTGACACATTTTTTTCTCTGCTGTATATTGTGTTCTTGGCTTTGACCCAGCTTGGCAGTCTGGAATGCTCTTGCCTCTCATCTCATCTGTCCACCCCGTGGCCTGTCCTCAATCCTGTAGGGTTCCTTCTGCTGGCTCAGCTTGGACGTCACCAGGCTGAGAACTCTCTGCCTCCTCTACTGCATCATGTGCCCTTCCAGAAAACATAATTACCCCGTCCCTGTCCTAGAGACCATGCTCCCCACATAGGCCTGTTCAGAGGGACGGTAGCTGAGGATCAGCCTCCCTTGCTGATTGTGACTCTAACACAGCTCTGTGTAAAGCAGTACTGTTTGTTCTCCAAAGGTCTTAACAACACCGGCTGCATGAGCAGGCAGTTTCTCTCCTGTGGTTGCTGGGCTCTGTGGTGTAATTTCTGACTTCCAGGACTTTTGAGTCCTGTGACAACATAGACTGGCCCTTTCACCCCACCCCATCCCCTACATAAGGAACTTCCATTTCTGTGCTCTTTCAGTGGAAGCCAAGAATCTGATGTTGTGGGTGCTGTCACCGCCTCTGCTGAGGGCAGGTAAGCAGGCAAGGGGACACAGCTGAGCTGGCTCTTATCTCCCCACAGGGCCCCTGTGTCAGAATTCAAGATTTCAGCTGACAGTGCCAACCTCCATGACTATATCAGAGGATCTGTGTAGAGCATTTGTCTTCTTCCTGCTACCCTGGACTCTACCTGGCAGAAAGAGCCACCACAGGCGCAAGGCACCATCCACGTAAGAACTGAGAGTATCAGGCCTTTCTGACCTGTCTCCGGATCAGCCTCCATTTTCAGATCTTTATCCTCCCAATAGTTTAAGTGCTTGTGTAATGAGACACAACCAGAGCAACAGTAGTGTCTGCAGTAGTTCAACCTCCTCCCCAGAAGTGACCAGGTCCCACACAGGCTGCCTTGAGCCTGCATTTCCCCATCTGAGGGTCAAAGGTGACATGGGATGATGTAAGCAACAGGGCAGGGTGGGTACAGGGATGGGCTCTGATGCTGTGGTAATCGACCACTGGGCAGCCAGGGCCCTGATATCTTTCTCCCAATAGACATGTGCAGTGAATTACCTTGTAGCTGTATCAAATATGTGAGTTTTTAAGATGAATTCCTAAATACAAAATGTAGCTAGATCATATGTTTTCCTAATTTTGAGAATCTAAGTGGTTCTTCATGATGGGGGATAATGGTCCACTCTTGATGGTGAGAGAAGAGGGTGAGTTTCCACCTATTAAGTGTGAGGAAATACCTTTTGGGTTGTTCTCCCTTTTAGTGCATGGGGGGCGGGGGGGTGAGCACTGAAACACAGCCCAGCCCAGGGGGATTCTTCAGCCTTCATCAGCAGAACACTAAAACTGTAATCCTTTGCTTTTTAATACTTATATTCACATATTTTAATTCAAATAAATCCATACGTGGAGTTCACCACTAACCACCACCACACAACCACAGCCACCATGATTCCCAAAGATTTTCATCATCCCAGAGGGAAAACCTGCCCCCATGGTGCTGTCAGTCCACATCCAATCTTTTTAGAAAGCATATCTGGTGAGGTCTTGATAGGTTTCTTCTTCAAGACTGCACAGAAGAGAAAATGTCCATTTTTATGTCTGTCTACAATCATTTAATGTTGTTTTGGGGATTCATCCTGGAGGCATACACCAGGGCATCACTCCCCTTTCAATGTAAATACCATCTTGTTTGCATAGTTCACTTTGCTCATCTGTTGGTGAACTGATGGATACCGAGGCTGACGGCAGTCTGGGTGGAGATGAGCATCCACAGTACATTCCTGGCTGCAGGAAACCAAACAGGAGTTCCACACACTCCGTACTTTACCAGTGTTACTGCTTTCATTTTAAAAAGAATGTCACCTATGGTTGGTATGCCAGAGTAGGACAGTTCTGAAAGACATTCATGTAAAAATGAGGGATGTCAAGTTTCATTCACTTACTGGTCATTTAAATTTTTTTAAATTTGTATTTTATGTTTTTTATTTTTTATGTATTTTGTGTATGTGTTACTTTTTTTTTAAATTTTATTTTTATTTTATGTATGTGTGTATTGCCTGCATGTAGGTAAGTGTACCCATGTGTCGCGCAATGCCTGAAGAGGTCAGAGGAGGCTGTCAGATCCCCTGGGACTGGAGTTATGGATGGTTGTTAGCTGCCATGTGGGTGCTGGGATTTGAACTCAGGTAGTCTGCAAGAACACCCAGTGTTCTTAACTGGTGAGCCATCTCTCCAGCCCCATGTATTTTATTTCTATTTTATGTATGTGTTACCTGCATGTACATTCATACAGGCAATTCTCACAGCGGCCAGAAGAGGGCATTGGATCCCCTGGAGCTGGGGTTACAGGTGGCTATCTGCTATGTGGGTGCTGGGAACCAAACCTGGGTCCTCTGCAAGAGCAGCCAGTGCTCTTAACCACTAAGCCATCTCTCCAGCCTCTTACTGGTCATTTTAAAAAACCTATTTATATCATGGGAGCCCCCCCCTACACACACATCCTATAACCATTTTGAGTTGTTTAGGTACTCTGTAATTTTAGCTATGAATTTTTTTTTTTCTGTGGATTGTGTACATTCTCATCACAACTAGGATTTTAAACTATTTTTTTTAGTTTAGTGTCTCCTCACTGTTTTGGTAGTGTCAACCAATGAACAAGTGCTAATTTTGATAGAATGGAACTTACAAATATTTCTGCAACAGTGGAGTAATCAGACTTTGTGGTGACACATGGGGTGATCGGGGATGAAGGGAGATCGGGAGGGTCGTACCCAGGTCCTGGTGCGAGAGGAGGGACAAGGGCTATGGTCAGCAGTTCATTTCAAGCCCATCCACATTTCTAGAGCAAAATCAAGCCCTTAACAGAAGTGACTGTGGTGGCCACAGGAGACATGGCTGTCAGGGTCCTCCCTCATGACCACTGTCTCATCCTTCTCAGTGATTGCTGCCCCAAGATGAAAAACTGCTTTGGAGAAGTCAAGGACTCAAAGCTGGATCTCATGTCCTGGGTGCTGAGGGGACCCAGACATGATGGGAGTCCTGAGCCTTGCCTTCAGCAAGCTGCGGGTGTGATAGTGAGGTTGTGCTGACAGCCACATTCATTGTAATAGAGAGATTACTGAGCCATAGAAACTGTCATGGACCTCTTGGTACTCAGGAGGAAGGAAAGAGCATCCAGACTGAGCTGGGATACTTCCATGCCAGATAGAAAGTGAGAACTTGGCTGAGTCCTGAACCAATCTTGAGCTGGTGTGACAATCTGACCTATGCACGATGGATGTCCTAGACACCTAGCAAGGCAGGGTCGCAAGCTCCACTTTAGACCAGTATTCACATTGAGTTGCTTACGATGGGAGATGACTAGCTCATGCATGGTTTTACTGAGAGTTTGAAGTTGGTCAGGTTAGTAAGCAAGCTGGACATAATCTGAAGAAAACCACAAGCTTCATACTGATGGTGCTGCACTGAGTGCCATGGGCTGCCTCTCACTCTGGACTCTCCTCTGTGATGTTTTCAAAGTCGATCAGACAAGGCTGGGTCAGGCCTCAGGGCTATGGGAAAAACTGAGCAATACCCAAGAGGAACACTTAGGTCCTGTTCTCCAGGACACAACAGCACAGGATGTCCTGGTGTCACTTCTGAGTCCAAATAGTACTTCTGTTACCAAAAGCTTCACCAAAGCAACGTTCCCTCCTTTCTGTGCCTCTGGCTGGTCAGGTCTCCTGTGCAGGAATGCCTCTCCAGGATGTCTAATCCAATCTCATTTAGACCTACTCATCAGACATCAGGGAGGAGGATCTGCTCGATCACATCACCTCCCTGAAGCACTGAGTCTGCATGTGGTTCTTTTCCATCTCCAACCACCTCTAGGGTCCAGGGATGTGGCAAGTTCCATTAGAAGAACAAAGTGGAAGTGCAAAGGCGGGGGTACAGCTGGCACAGGTGTGGGAGAACATTCTGGTTCCATCCTGTTGCAACACAGCCAAGCAAGGTAAACCCCGTCTTAGAGCCACTGTTAACCTTTCAAAGTTCATGTGGTTCAAGGATTTGGGAAGGGCTCAGTTGAGTGGTTGTGGTTGTCTTCCACGCAGTTGATGAGATGGAACTGGAGCTCACTGCAACAACAGTAACGATGCCCTGGGAACTGATCACTCCTCACATTCATCATGTTCCTCTTAGGGCCTCGCCATGTGGGCTTGTTTGGATTTCCTTATAGTATGTTGGCTCCAGCATGACTTGAATTACTGCACGGCAGCTGAAGGCTTTGAGAACAAGCATTCAGATGAGCAATATATGAAATCTATGACTTCTTAGACAGGCTCTCGTTCTGTAGCCCTGGCTGGACTGAAGTCCCTATATAGATCAGACTGGCCTTGAGCTCAGACATCCACCTGCCTCTGCTTCCTGAGTGCTGGGATTAGATGTATGCACCACTATGCCAGGAAAGGTCTACAGTTTTTAGTACAGTCTCAAAAGCCACATACTTTTCCTAGCACTTGGGAGGCAGAGGTGGGCAGATCTGAGTTCAAGGCCAGCCTGGTCTACATAGTGAGTTCCAGGCCAGCTGGGGCTGCAGGGAGACACTGTCTCAAAAAGACACCCCCACACCAAAAAAGCCACATATTCTATTATATCCTACCCACTGAAAATAAAATCCCACTTAAACTTAACTTTAAGGTGGTAGGGACATGGAGTCACCCCTCAATAGGGTAGTTGAATTTATACCCAGAGGACATGTTGGATGGTAGATGTTATTAAGGTAGTCTTTGGTAAAAATACAAGTGGTGGCATGAAGCAGGAGGATTGGGCATTCACGGCCATCCTCTGCTACGTATGAACAACAGAGGGGCACGGAAGTGGGCATGGTTGGGACATGGCTTGAGAACCATAAGGAGCAGACATCCACGAGGTTAAGGGGCGCTGCTCCATGCACCAGCCTACTCAAAGAAGAGTTAGAAACACAGACGCCAGAGTGAGGACCGGGCAGGGAAAGCTAGGCATGGCAGAAAAGACAAAACGATTGAAGACGGTGTTGAGAGGGAGCAGAAGCAGGAGGGCAGGGCAGGCGACGCCACCCAGGCATCCCAGAACACGCCGTGCTCTACTAGTTTTCCTGGGCTGTGGCAAAAACAACAGACACATATTTTCTCGCCATGTTGGAGAACAGAATTCTGAAATTAAGGTGCTGGCCAAGGATGGCTCCTAAGGAAGAAAGCATCCTGTCCCCTTTCCAGCTTCTACCAGTTGCTGGCAGTCCTAAGCATTCTGTGGCTTGGAGGCACGTATTCAAATCTCTGCCTCCAAGGTCCCATCTCCCTCTTTTGAGTCTTCACCTGGCTTTCTTATAAGGATGCTACTCACTGGATTTAGGACCCACACTGACCAAGCACGTCCACTTCCACAAAGAAGCTATTCTCAACAAGGCCATAAGCTGAGGTTCTGGAAGGACACGATTTAAGAGGCATTACTCGGTCCAGTGCAGTTGGGTTGCAGAGGCACTGGCAGAGGCTCCTGAACATTCTGGGTTTCTGCATTTCTCTCAGATGGCCACTAGAAGGTGATGATCCTGGAGAACCCGAGACTGGAAGGATGGTGAAGAACGACTCATTGAAGGGGCTTAGGACCCGCCTGCAGCCGGGCACACTATCGCAGAGCAGAGCTGCTGTGCTGTGGTTAAACACCTGCAGCATCTCTGTTCACGTACACCCCTTCTTGCACAGGGTGAGGCCTGCACGGCTTTTTTGTGTGTGTGCCTATTCCTATCTCAGAATAAACAGGGAAACCATTTATGTGATTTCTCAGAAACTTGCCTACCAATAGTCAGGTAGCCTTATGCCATTAACTACGTAAGGTTTACCTCAAAACATTAGTTGTGTTTCTTCATGCAAGGAGACTATCCTTAAAATGTCCACTACAACATGGAGATGTGTGCTTCTTATAAGTTCGTTAGTAATTTCTCATATATAATCATTTGTGTGTTTAAACAAGCAATGCATAGCTGTATTGTTTTTCTGAACTATGGCTTGTATAATTAGGTTTCTTTTTGTGTGTGTGCATTGTGTTTGCACAGGTGTGAACACACCGTGTGCCGTGGCACCCAGAGGAAAACTTTGGGTATCCTTCCTCAGGTGCTGTCTACTTTCTTTACACAGAATCTGTCTTTAGCCTGGAGTTCAAAAATTAGGCTACCTTGGGTATCCAGGAAGCCTGTGGGGCTCTGCCTTTCCCACCTTGGCATTGCTGAGATGACAGGTGCACACCAACAGAAAGGGTTTTTATAAAACCTTCTGGGGGTAGAACTTGGGTTCTCATGCTTCTAAGGCTTAACTTTACCAACTAAGCATGATATCTTCCCAGCCCTATTTAAGTCAGTTAGAAACTATTACTTTCCATGTAAACCAAGACTATTTTGGTGAGGGATATGTATGAGGAACTGATTTTGTGGTAAATGCTTTCATCGACCATGTGTCTGTAGAAACAGTGCCTGTGTGACTGCTTGAGTCCACTGAGATGGCATGATTTTGAAGGACTTTGTATTCACAACACACACAAGGTGTCTTCCTGGTATGACTTGGACGATGCATGCAGAGTTGTGCAAAGACTTCCCAAAGTCGTACTAGTGGTAATAGGTGTGACTTCAACGATACAGCTTCGGCTGATACATATCACAGAACGATTGCCCCATGTCACATTTCTAAATATTCTTTCTAGTGTGAGTTTATTGAGAAGATGTCAACTGTGAATTTTGCAAGAAGCCATTCTCCCGTTTCTGATAGACAAACGGTTTCTCCCTATTGTGGATTTTACAATGTCTATAAAAAGAAGATTTGTCACTGAAGGCCTTCCCACATTCGTGGCACACATACGGCTTCTCTCCTGTGTGAATTCGCTGATGCTCTTTGAGATTGGCTTTAGAAGACATGGCTTTCCCACAGTCACTGCATATGTAAGGCTTCTCCCCAGTGTGAATTCTCTGATGTGTGCTGAGGACTGACCTATCATTGAAGGCCTTCCCACACTCGGAACACACATAAGGTTTCTCACCAGTGTGAATTCGATGATGCACCTTCAGGTGAGAGGCTCTCCTGAAGGATTTCCCACAGTCACAGCATTTGTAGGGCTTCTCACCAGTGTGAGTTTGCTGATGCATCTGCAGGTGAGAGTTTCTTCTGAATGATTTCCCACAGTCATCGCATTTGTATGGTCTCTCACCAGTGTGAATTCGATGATGTACATGCAGGTGGGATTTGACACTGTATGATTTGCCACAATCATGGCATTTGTAAGGCTTCTCCCCTGTGTGAAATCGACAATGCTTCTCCAGATCTGAAGCATAAAGAAACAATTTTCCACAGTCCCCGCATGGGTAACATTTCTCCCCAGTATGAATTCTCTGATGTGTGGCGAGGACTGATTTTTGGCTGAAGGCCATCCCACAGTCAGAACACACAAAAGATCTCCCATCAGTATGAATTTGATGATGAATCTTCAGTAGGGATATTTTCCTGAATGATTCCCCACAGTCAAAGCATTTGTAAGGGCCCTCACTGCTGTGAATACGATTGTGTGCAAGCAGGTTGGATTTAATGCTGAAAGATTTCCCACAGTCAGGGCATTCATAAGGCTTCTCCCCTGTGTGAAATCGGGCGTGCTTCGTTAGATCTGATGCACAAACAAACATTTTCCCACAGTCACTGCATGTGTAAGGCTTTTCTCCAGTGTGAATTCTCTGATGTATGGTGAGGACCGACTTTTGACTGAATGCCTTCCCACAGTCAGAACACACATATGGTTTCTCTCCTGTGTGTGTTCGAAGATGCACCTTTAGGTGTGAAGTATAGCTAAACGATTTCCCACAGACGTGGCATTCATAAGGCTTCTCACTGGTGTGAATTTCACGGTGCACCTGCAGGTTGGATGTACCCCTATGTGATTTCCTACAGTCAGGACATTCATAAGGCGTCTCTCTTCTGAGAGTTCCTGGATGGGAGGTCAACTCAGAACTGTGGAAGAAGGTCTTCCCACATGTGTGACAGATAAAAGGTGTCTCTGTAGTGCTAGTAATTTGTTGCTGAGAGAAAGCAGAACTACCAGTGACGACCTTCCCGTATCCAGTATATTCAAGTGGCTTGTCCCGACAATTAATTTCATGCTCTGTGAGTGGTTGCTTAGGACAGAGAACTTCTCCAGACTGAGTGTCATTACATGACTCCTCTCCTTGATGAGGAACTGTACACACTGCATCTGAAGAGCTTTGTGTGAAGAGCTGCTGAGACCCCACAATGCCATCACCCTGCCAGGTGGCACTGCTTTGATTATCAGCATTTGTTTCAAGGTTAGGCTTCACACTTTTTGCTGATAAGGAACATCTCTGACGTCTCTTTTGTACAGAAACGTCGTGGGGTCCCAAAGGAATTGACTGCCCAGTCTCTTCCCATTCATAGCCTCTGTCTGTGCTCAGTTTTTTCTTGTTTCCAGGACTCAAGGGTGGGATCGGGCTTTGCTGATCTCTCTTTGAAGGGTCAGCATTCTGCCACAGTTTTTCTAAAACAGAACTATATGAGCCATGCCTTGTGATTTCTCTTGAGAAATCATTTGGAAATGAAGCATTCACAGAAATTTGTTGATGTGGCGTCTCAATCTCCAGTTCCCCTGCAGAGAAGAGAGAAAGAGACGAAGAAGGAAAAGACACAGTGAGCAGGATGGAGGAGGAATCACACAGAGCTGACGCTGAACACAGAGAAATGGGAGTCAGGTAGTAATGCTGCTGACGGTGACGGCGAGCAGCACACGGCACAGCCCTTCTTGCGTGTCTTGTGTTCATGTACACAGCACCCACTTGTGCTCGGAAGTTGGTATGCAGTGGACACATGAACACAAGATAACCCACAGCAGATGAGATCTACTCTCCTCATTTCATGGGAGGAAATGGAATCACAGAATGCATCAGTCAGTGGCCAAGAGAAGGTCATTCATTAGGATGGTGGCAAAGAAACACATGGAAATATACAAAAGGAAAAGCGTCATCTCATCGCAGACCACTGATCTACAAAGAGAAATAAGGAAACGGGTCCCCAGCCAGCTGCGCTCACCCACTGACAAGAGGTGGCTGTAGATCTCCAGCATCACGTCCTTGTACAAGCGTCTCTGCGTGGGGTCCAGGTGCTGCCACTCCTCCTGGGTGAACTCCACAGTCACGTCCTCAAATGACACCCATCTCTGTAACAACATACCCATTTTACTGTGAATGAACCTTGACAAATATGCCATTACACACAGGGATGTATTTTTAGTGGTTTTCTCCCAAGGATTTATCACTAGGCTTCTCCTAAAACACCAATTTCACATTGTATTTTGGGCCATATAGAAAATATGCAACAAAATTCAGCCACCTATTGTAGACTACTTCCTTTCCTGGGAGGCCAAAAGTGTATTCTCTCTGATTCTCTAACAGAACTAAGCAGCATGACAATCTTTTATGTGCCTGTCTGTAGCTGTGCTGGGTTCCTGGGGTCACCGATGCACCAGCTTCTACTTTTCAGAAACTTGTCAAATAGGAAACATAAAGATACAAGAATGGGATAAAAAAAGAACATTTTAGAAATATACACAACGAAAATGGCTGGGGAGGGCAAATTAGGCATAGTTCCGGGAACAGTGGGTATGCTGCTCAGAGCAGAGCAGGTGATAAGTTTGGATTATGGGGTGGAAAATACCAATTTTCTAGAAAACAATACAAAAGAAGGTGGAATGCTTTGTACACCAGTGACTTCTGGGAGCGCCAGAGAGCTCTGTAAGAAGAGGACATTTGATGTCTGAAGAGTGGTTGTTGTCAAGTCCCAAGGAGATGGACTGGGGTCACTCTGACAGTGCAAAGGGTGTGCGTCTGTGAATCCTAACGGATTGCCATTTACACATTTAAATTTGGAGATTTTCAAATTTAAAAAGCTAGTGTTGAGGCTGGAGAGAAGGCTCAGTGGTTAAGAACACTGGTTGTTCATGCAGAAGACCCAGGTTCGAATCCCAGCACCCACATGGCAGCTAACAACTGTCCGTAACTCCAGTTCCAGGGGATCTGACAGCCTCTTCTGTCCTCCAGGGGCATTGCATGATATGGGTGCACTTACATACATGCAGGCAATACACACATACACATAAAAAATAATAAATGAAATATTAAAATAAAAAAAAGCTGGTCTTTTCTAATGGAAACAATCTGTTTCTGTTAAAGATCTGATGGAGGGAAGCCCTGCATTACACGGGACTGAAGTGGACAGTGGAGCTGGAAGAACGATTACTACATCAGTACTTTTCCTCCTCTCCAAAAGCCACTGGGGTCCACGGGAAGCAGGACTGGGATGACCACACCTGCACCCAATGGTCAGATTCAACATCACAGGAAACAGATGGCCATACATGATGTGCACCTGGCAGGATACAAGGGTTCGACATGCAACCAGACTATGCTGTATTCCTGCAAGAAATAAAACTGCATCTGATTGCACTCCAGAACCGAGCTCTCTGATGCAAACACAATGGGTGCCAAAAGGAAATCTTGAAATTTCTAGAAGCTATATTAACTAGAAACATGTGGAATCAATTCAATAGTATATTTAATTTACCCTGTGTATCCAAATAATTATTTCAAGATATTCAGCTTTCAAGAGTCCGTGGGTAGTGCTGAATTGGAAAAGTCAAAGGATTAAGAACTTGGGGAGGTGGACACCTGTGCAGGAGAGTTCTGTGGCTGTTACCTTGGGATAGACACATTCCCTCTTAGAGGGGATAGAGAGGGTCAAGAGGCCTCTTGAAGATGTACTATAAGCCTATAAGCTGGAAACTACAGCTGGTGGATGGAGACTCTTTGGTGACACACTTTCCTAAGTAGCCAAACATGCTTGGGGTAGGAGGGCATGTAGGTGATGCAGCTGCTCAAGTCACCTGCATTCCTGGGTCACCCGCACTCCTGGAGTTTTCTCCTCCCCTATGCTCCCATAATTAAACCAAAATACTATAATCTCCTGGGTTCACAAAGGTAGATTTGGATACACCCATTTCTTTGCCCTGTCAGAACCCTATCTGGGTTGAATAGCAAAGTAAGCCGCTCCAGGAAGTCACGTGACAGCCCTAACCCCAGCAGCAGCACCATGAACAGTTGGGGAAAGACAAGAAGATGTCGAATGTTGGGCCCCCTCTGGTCCACTCTCCCCGGGGGATCAAGGCCACCTCGGGAGCGGGAGCCCAGATCCTGCAGCTTGCCGTGTGTCCACTCAGGGAACGGAACTCCGGGCACCTCTCCTCACCTCACAGGACCCGTGTCGCTCTGCAGCTCCCGGTCTCTGGGCCTTCCGGCAGGAATTCATGGCAGCAGGCGGGTCCTCTGGGGCTTCGACACTTGGTCCGTCCCTGATTCCCTCAGGACTGGAAGGGAGGGTTCCGGGAAGCCCAGCTGTCACGTCCAGGGAAACGTCCAGGGAAATCTGCAGGACGAAAGACTTGGCCTGACCCAACGGTCAGAGAACACAGCAGAAAGCCCTGGAAAGTCAATGACCTCCTCTGTCATTCATCTAACATTTGCCCAGGAGGGTTTTGAAGGCTGCACCTGTAGGTCACTAAGCAGACATTGCTCTGCAGGTAAATCCCAGAAATGCCCAACAGTTCCTCCCATGTTTTACGTGGGGGAGGAGGAGATACTAAAGGGGTCAAGTTTCCAAAGTGAGGACATAGGCCTTGGAACTCCCATGGGGCTCAAGTTCCTCAAGCCCTCAGCTTCTCCAGTCTGACCCAAAGTCACCAAATGGGAGAGCAGGGAACAGATTACACCTGCCCCATACAAAATGACACCCTGCCCCTCTGTGCCATGTGTCCCTCCTGTTGTGAGGGGGCTTATGACTTTAGGTTCCTGGCAGACTCCTAAAATGGCAGTGCAACTCCCAACGTTTGCAAATGGCAGGTCCAAACATAGCCTGGGAAGGACCCTCTGCTTCCTGGGAGACCAACCAGTGAAGGAGAACATCAAGGTCAAGGAAGAGGTTAAGAGCGGTCAGGACGAGGTTCAGACAGTTCTTGAAAACAACAATGTCGGGCTTGGCAGAATACCACCTTAGTCATGGATCAGAGAAATACATAAGTCTGAGTCACGGTACTGCAACACATACGGTGTGTATTTAATGTCAAACATACCACCGTTTGGCCAGCCTTCCTGGAACTTGTTAAAATCTATAGACTGTGTAAGAAACTAATATACTCTTTGCAGCCTATTGACTAACTTGAAAGGTAAACTTGTAGAATGTGCTTTGTTCTCTGTGAAACTAATTTTTTCATGTGTTCTGGCACAAACACCAAGCTTGTGACTGTAGTTTTGAGAGTATAGAAAAGCACTGCTAAAGAATTAAACTCACTCCTCTCCTCCATCAGAGGGTTGAGTCTTTGCCTTCACTCATTCTATCCACCCACCAGCAGACTTGAGTCTCTACAAACTAATCCCGAGCTAAACTGCCCAGCCTATGTCATGAAAAGCACCTAACTGCCTATAAAACGTGTCTGACCTCTGATGCTGGCTGCAGCCTCTCTCCTCCCCAGGAGACAGCCCAGAGGTCTGTGTGCTCTCACATGAACTGCTGTCCCCCACGGGGTCTGGTTGGTGGTCTTTGCTGTGCCTTTCCAGACAATGACCAGTTTTGGTTCCTACTCTTTCTAGACTTACTACAAACCAGACTTACTACAAACAGCCTATTCTTTTCTGACACATCACCTGAAATCACTGATGCAATTCCCTCCTTGACCAGAAAAGCTGCAAACATGAAGCAGGACCTGGGGCTCTGTCCTGTAAGCCTACCTTTTCTTCCTTTTTCTTTATTATTATTACCATGATTATTACTGTTATTATTTTTTTTGGTCTTTAAAAAATATTTTATTTAGAGATGGCTCAGCGGTTAAGAGCACACTGACTGCTCTTGCAGAGGAACCGGGTTTGGTTCCCAGCACCCACATGGCGCTTGCAAACCATCCTTAACTCCAGTTCTAGGGGAATCTGAAGCCCTCTTCTGACTTCCATGGCATTGCACAACACGGGTGCACTCACATACATGCGTGTATTGCCTGCATGTAAGTGCACCCATGTCATGCAATGCCACGGAGGTCAGAAGAGGCTGTCAGATCCCCTGGAACTGGAGTTACTGACAGTTGTTAGCTGCCCTATGGGTGCTGGGATTCGAGCCCCGGTCTTCTGCAAGAACAACCAGTGTTCTTAACCACTGAGCCATCTCTCCAGTCCCTGTTTTTGGTCCTTTTGAGCAGGGTCTCCCTGAAGCCCCAGCTGTCCTGGAACTCACTATGTAGACCAGGCTGGCCTTGAACTCAGAGATCTGCCTACCTCTGCATCCTGAGTGCTGGGATTAAAGGCGTGCGCTACCACGCCAGACTCTGTTTATTAATATTTTTTGTACCACATCGCCCTCATGCTAGTTTTTAACTGTGTGATTCTGTAGCACAGGTTGACCCGATCTCATTATGTACTCCAGGATGGCCTTGAGCTCCTTGTAATTCTCCTGCCTCAGCCTATCAAATGTTATGGTCACAGGCATGGGCAACCCAGACTGGCTGACTGTGCAGGTCTGACTGTCTATAAGGTGTCACCTGGCTAGCCTGTGTGCAGCCACACCGACTTTCAGTATCAATGACTGAACCCAGGACTGTCAGGTTACAAATGGCCTCCCAGTCAATGACATGCCCAGTCCTCTCAAATTACTATACCTTGACAGTCCATAAATGATACCCTAAATGTTATTTACTGGCTTCCACAGAACTCCAAATAACTTCCAACACAGGGGTCCAAGTAACACCCCCAACATGGAATCAGCATTTATGTGTTTTATTCTACTCTTTTTTGGTCATTTTGAGACAGGGTCTCCTTAGATCCCCAGCTGGCTGGGAACTCACTATGTAGACCAGACTGGCCTCAAACTCACAGAGATCCTCCTGCCCCTGCTGGGATTAAAGATGTGTGCAGCCACACCCCAGCTTATTTTACCTTTTTTTTTTTTTTTGAGGCAGGGACTCCTGTAGCCCAGCCTGGATTGGAACGCACTATGTAACTGAGGCTCGATTTGAAAGTCTGATCCTGCTGCCTCAGTACCCCAGTGCTGGGATCATAGGCATTCACCACCAAGCTCAGCTTGGGAGCAGCCTTGAACAAGCATCTAGAAGCTACTTCAGTCAGCCGGGCCTGATCTACACAAAAACAGAGCTCTCACTTCAAGGGGATTAAGGAATAGTTTTTTCTCAAGCCAAGTATGAGTGATCTTGACCCAGGAATGCAGATTCACGTCATTTCACATACCGTGTTCCAATGTGGTAAGGGTTTGATGAAATTTTTATAGTAATAGCACAAAACAAAATCATAAATGAAGGCACTTTTTAAGTACAGTGGCGAGAGCCCAGGAAACGGTTTAGAGGGTAAAGGTGCTTGCTGCCAAGCCTGACAACCTGTGTGAGCTCCATCCCTAGGACACAATCCTAAAAGTTGTCCTCTGACCTCCACAGTCACGTGATCCCACACACAGGCCACAGAGAAACACATCAGCACACAGAAAAAAGCATAATGATGGCGCTCAGCTCTGGAGAAGGTGAATCAGGGGCAAGACAGAGGCCAGCTGTCTCTCGGAAACAAGAGGATGTTTGGACATTGGTGGAACACCGCTTCCCAGTCTAGGGCAGAACACTGCCTTGGGATAGGAAGAGAGATAGTGGATGGGCTTGTGTTTTCCTTTCTCACAGACTGGAGCTCTGGGAAAGGGTTTGGTTAGCAGCAGAAAAGAAAAACAGCCTTTAATTTTAACTTCGTTTGGTTTATGTTTTGCATGCTGTATCCTTGTCTGACCCTACTCATTAGGTATAAAGACCCACTCTTAGAATTAAACTTGCCTTTCTCCACCTGAGTCTGGTCCTTTGCCTTCTACAATTCCGTCGTCCACCATAATAGTCACTATAATATAGTGAGTCACTATATTATAATAAACTGAGTCACTATAATATAATAAACATTTTTTACATGGAGATGGCTTAGTAGGTAAAGTGTGTGCCATGCAACTGTAAGGTCTGAGTTCAACTCCCAGCACAGGCCCATGTGGCTGCAGCACTTCTAAGCCCAGTACCATAAAGACAGAAGGACTTGGCGGCTTGCTAGGTCATCAGTCTACTGAAATCGGGGAGCTGCAGGGTTAGTGAGGGACCCCGTCTCAAAACATAAGATCGCGGCTGGAGAGGCAGCTCAGTGGTTAAAAGCACTGGCTTCTCTTGCAGCAGATCAGATTCAGTTCCCAGTACCCCATGGTGGCTAACAACCATCTGAACCTCCAGTTCTAGAGGACCTGGCATCTTCTTTTGTCCTCTGAGGGCATTACACTCATGTGGTGCCCTTACACACATGCAGCCAGTGGTGGCCCATGCCTTTGAATCCCAGCACACGACAGAGGCAGGCAGATCTCTGTGAGACTGAGGCCAGCCTGGTCTAAATAGTGAGATCCAGGCCAGCTGGGGCTACAGGGAGACCCTGTCTCAAAAAAACCAAAGAATCAAAACAATAAGAAGAAGAAGAACAAAAAGGTAGAGAGGGACTGAGGAGGCTGGCTGTGGCCCTCTGGCTTCCATGCTCACCTGCACACGGGCATGTTCCCAGTCACATATAATGTGCACTGTATAAACATACACACTACAGAGATCAACAACCCCCCCCCTCCCAAATAATGAAACATCAACACAAACCACTTCAGGGAATCATCAGAAAGGCAGGTTACAACAAAGCGGGGATCCTTGTTACAAGATCTCACTGATGGAAGCCAGTGGGCTGTGTGTGCATTTGAAAGGATTTGCTTAGCAGTCACAGGGAAGGATTTGGGTGAAATAGAGGTGGACTGTGAATCAGCCATCCAGGGGGACAGAACGGCCAAAGACAGTTTGACGTCAGACCAGCAACCCCCCCCCCAACCATGAAGTTCTTGTGCATCAACCCCCTGTAGCATTTTTTTTTTTTTTTTTTTTTTTTGGAGACAGGGTCTCCAAAGCAGCCCTAGCTTGCCTGGAACTCACTAAGTAGACCAGGCTGGCCTTGAATTCAGATTAAAGGCTTAAAGGCATGTACCACCATGCCCAGCTGCCGGTAGCATCTTTAACAAGGTGTGGCTTTGGTTTCCTGGGAACTTTCATTTCACATGTTGAAGGCCTATACTCCCAGCATACCAGAGGCACAGGCCAGGGGATTGCTGCCAAATTTGAGGCCAGCCTGGTCTACATAGGGATTAAAGGTGGGTACCACCAAGCCAGGCATTCTGCTCTACTTTCTAAGTGCCAGGATTACAGGCATGAACCAGCACACACTGCATGACTTAAGTATGTACACCTCTATTTAAACCTAAGCCTCAGGGCAGGACCCCTAAGTCAGACTTCAGGCAACTTGTATCTTTTTCTGCCTAATGTGACCAATTTGAAGGAATCTCCTTCCTCTGTTTTTCTTCAAAAAAAAAAAAAAAACAACAACAAGATTCAGTTTTACTATTTAAAATTATGTATATGAGGGGCTGGTGAGCTGCTCCGTTAAGAGCACTGGTTGCGGAGAGATGGCTCAACAGCTAAGAACACTGGTGGTTCTTGCAGAGGATCCAGGTTCGAATCCCAACACCTACATGGCAGCTAATGACTATCAGTAACTCCAGTTCCAGGGGATCCAACAGCCTCTTCTGTCGTCCACCGGCATTGCACGACACGGGTGCACCTACCTACAAGCAGGCAACACACACATACACATAAAATAAAAATATAAATAAATTTTAAAAGAGCACTGCAGAGAACTCAGGTTCTAGTCCCAGCACTTACATGGCGGCTAACAACAGTCCATAACTCCAGTTCCAGGGGATCCGACACCCCCTTCTGACCTTCCCAGGCACTGCATGACACGGGTGCACTTCCATACATGAAGACAATACACATACAATAATAAAATACTTAAAATTATGTGTATGGGGAGGGTTATGAGTGCTATTTCCTCAGAGGCCAGGGGAGTCAGATCTTGTGGAAGTAGAGTTATGGGCAGTCGTGAGCTACTGACTAGGGTTCTAGAAAGTGAGTTTAGGTCGTCTGTGCTTTTAACCACGGAACCATCTGTCCAGCCCACTTCTGCCTTTTGCAATCACAGTCAATTCAATGGGCTTATTGAGGTGGACTGTGGGACTGCAGCCACCTGGGCTTCCGCCCTAAAGAAAATCTCTTTATAGCACTAGTCTGCTCAACTGCTCATCACTGACCCTTAGCATGTCCACAGGGTTCCGGGGACAGGCCACCACTGACCCACCCACCCATCTGGAAAGGACCCCCAGCATGCACATATATGAGTCATTGGATTTAGGATTCGTTTTGTTTTGTTTTTTCTTTTTTTCTTTTTCAGCTCCAACTCAATATAGGAAATAAAAACGTGGGGAATGGAAATGGCCGGAATTCCTGGTTCCTGGCACTGGCACAGAGGTCTGTCGACTGCAGCCCCACAGTTCGAGTACCTGCCCATCTCCCCCGGCTTTTGTTCAGTTCCTTCCATCAGTCCTGACACTGCTTGGGCTTAGAGAGATGAGGATGCGGCGTCCGCAGTTCGGTAAAAACTGTGATCAAACCCAATTTCCCCCATTTTCATTAACTTTATGGCAGCATTGAGGACCCCGAGGCAGGCCTCCCCGCCACGGCCCCACTGCACCCCGGTGCAGAAGGCCGTGCAGTCCCCGCAAACACCCCCTCCCCAGGCCTGCGGGCTCCATCCTCAGCAACCTGCTGCCCTGACTCCTCCCCATTCCCACCCAAGTCCTCTACCTGCAGCTCCAGCTCCATCCAGCACGGACTCCTGCAGCACCCACGGGGAGTCCTCCCAGGGTCCCCAGTGCTGTCCTCATTGCTCGGAGGACAACGTCCACAGGGGACCACGCAGCTGCCCACATCCCGTCTGGACCCGAATCCTCCCTGCACTCCTCCCTGCACCCGGCGTCACTCTGCACAACCCCCATCACCTCCCACATCCTCCCAGCCTCACCACTCACCTTACCCTGCTCAGCACCTCTGCACACGGCACGCCCGGGCTGGCCTCTCTCCCTACACGCTACCCAGCACCCCGGGGAGCTCTGCACACGGCACGCCACGGGCTCCCAGGGTCACAGACACTGAGACTTTGGAGTTCAGACTCCAAACTCCCACGGCGTCCAAGAAACCATAACAGCATCCATCCAGAAGAAGCCCTAACCGGAAATGGTCATGTCAGGACGCTTCCGGTTACAATGAACTCTGCCCTTCTTCCGGCCACGGTAGCTAAACTGTATGCCAGCTCTAGTTGCAGAGACCCTCCTTGTTAGCAGTTAACATGGCACAGAAATTTCTTCTTACCAGTAGTTATCATGGCGCAGGGATCCTCGTCAGTAGATATCATGGCACAGAAATTCTTCTTACCAGGAGTTATCGCGGCGCAGGGAATCGTCCTTGCCAGTAATCATCATGGCGCAGGGATCCTCTTTGCCAGGAGTTATCATGGCTCAGAAAGCCTCATCACCAGGAGTTATGGTGAATTCATGGTTCCTTTTCCTTCAGAACTGTCATGGTGGCGCTCATAGAACACTGATACTGGAGGCTGCCATTGAAGTACTTCTCTTCCTTGCCGGGAAAGCTTGGAATGTCAAAGTGGGAAAGGCCCGGGTGGTCTCACATTGGTAGGGGATTTATTTAGAACTGGGAAGCACAGGTATCAATTTCAAAGGACTGTGACTGAGAGACCTGAGTGACTCCATCTTGGATAAAACCTCCATGGGACTAACCCAGTCCTGAATCCTGTTCCAGGAGAAACCACAGAAAAAATAAAATAAAAAGTATACTTGGAACAGGTAGAGAACAACTCCCCCACCAATGGTCAATTAACCAGGGACAGGAAGGTACTAAAGGTCCAGATGTCTTTTCAGATTTCCTGAAGCCAGCAGTTTATGGTTTGGCACTGGGCTGCAACCAATCAGATGCTTGCCAGGCTGAAGAACTTGTACTTCTCTACTTGCTGAACTTGCTGAAATAAACCTATAAAAACCTCTGTCTCCCAAAGCAAGGGGGTCTCACATCTGAGATCCGCTGAGTCGGTGACAGAGTGGACCTAAGCTTAAGCTTGTAACAATAAAAGAACCCTTGTGTGTTTGCATCGGTCGGCTCCTTGGTGGTCTTTGGGGTCTCACGAACTGGGCACAACATGACATTGCATATTATGAAAATTCCCTTCTCACTGTAATTACACATAGACTTAAAAGGTTTCTTACTGCTTTTATTTTGTTTTCCACTAAAAGTTGGGAGCCATAGGAAACACTTGAAGGTGAGGATCTGAAATGAATCTCCTTGTATGTGATACTGAACATTTCAAGGTCCCCCAAAACAAAGTCTGTTGCTAGAACTTTGTGAATTTTTTTTTTTTTTTTTTTTTTGGCTTTTTGAGACAGGGTCTCCCTGTAGCCCCAGCTGGCCTGGAGCTCACTATGTAGACCAGGATGGCTTCAAACTCAGGGATCTGCCTGCTTCTGCCTCCCAAGTGCTGGGACTAAAGGTGTGTGCCACCATGTCCACCTTCTCCACACCCTTTATATCCTGGTGGGACAGTCAGACAATAAGGAGCAAAGAGAGTCAGAAAATGTGTGTGGGCAAAAAATTGAACTGTGATTTCTCACTAGGAACACACTGAACAGATTTGCAGGATGGGGTGGGATTTCATGAGTGTGGTCAATGCAGGCCAATGGATTATAAAAATCAGCTCCACACTCCCAGGGCAGCTTCTGCAGCTAACTGGCTCTATCCCACTTGAGCACAAAGATGGATGTGCAATATTCCTTCCTGGTTCCAGGACAGGGCCACAGACTACTGCATTCCAGTGGCTATAACCAAACAAGATGAATCAGCCCAAAGCCAGTCCCACATCTTCAGAAAACTGAAGGACAAAAAGTGGCCCCTGTTCATCAGATAAGTGTGGAGACAGGTCTGCGGATGGACGACGGAATGAGTGAAGGCACAGGACTCAACTCCAGGTGGGGAGGAATGAGTTTAATTCTTTAGCAGTGCTTTTTTATACTCACAAAACTACAGTCACAAGCTTGGTGTTTGTGCCAGGATACATGAGAGAATTAGTTTCACAGAGAACAAAGCACATTCTACAGGTTTACATTTAGTCAGTAGGCTACAAAGAGTATATCAGTTTCCTACACAATCTACATGTTTTAGCAATTTCCAGAAAGGCTGATCTGCTGGTGATTATGTTTAACATTAAACATCCTATGTCTTGCAGTGCCATGACTTAGAGTTATGTTTTTCTCTGATCTATGACTAAGGCGGCGTTCCTCTGAGCCCAGCATTCTTGTTTTCAAGAACTGTCCAGACCTCGTCCCTGACCGTTCTTAACCTCTTCCTTGCCGTTCTCCTTCAAGGGACAATCTAACCTCCTGGATGTCAGCTGACCTCACCTCCCTGGGCTCTAAAAAGCACTTCTTGGTGATGATGCTTAGCCCGGTCCTGGGAACAAGGCACCAAGTTCATGCCTGGTGAGCTCTCCTGGCCCCCTGTGAGTGTGGAGACAGCACTGGGTGCCTGAAGCTGAGGGAAAAGAGGTGCCAAGGCTAAGGACCAAGGGTGGCTGCTTCCTGGAGGCCCAGCTGAGGAAGGGGCACACTGGTGTGGGCTTTGTGTGGTACCAGGGAGTGCTGTCCCCTGAACTCCCCTGAGGTAGAAATACTCTTCTCCAAGGTGCTGTAGGGACTCCCTGAACCCATCTCAAGTGGAGCAAGTCCAGCCAGTAGGGAGCCCTGATGAGAGGGCCTATCACCTCAACCCAGAGACAGTTCTCACAGCTCAGCCCTGGGGATAGGTAACTGATGGACAACCAGCATCCCCATACCATCTACAGACACATGGGCTGTAGGGTGCTTGTCTGCACCTGCATGCCAGAAGACTGGACTCTAGTCACCACGGGCACAGGGCACCATCCACATAAGAACTGAATGTATCAGGCCTTTCTGACCTGTCTCTGGATCAGCCTCCATTCTCAGACATTTTCCTCACAACAGTTTAAATCTTTTAATGAGACAACCAGAGCAAGAGTAGTGTCTGCAGTAGCTCAGCCTCCTCTCCAGAAGTGACCAGGTCCCACACAGGATGCCTTGAGCCTGGGTTTCCCCACCTGAGGGTCAAAGGTGACATGGGATGATGTAAGCAACAGGGCAGGGTGGGTACAGGGATGGGCTCTGACACTGTGGTAATTGACCACTGGGAAACCAGGGCCCTGATTTCTTTCTGCCAACAGACACGAATTACCTTGTAGCTGTATCAAATACATGTGTGGGGTTTTTAAGATGAATTACTAAATTCAAAATGTAACTGGATCATGTGTTTTTCTAATTTTGAGAATTTGACCAAGTGGTTCTTCATGATGGGGGATAATGGTCCACGCTAGATGGTGAGAGAAGAGGGTGAGCTTCAGACAACGGAGTGTGGGACAGCACCTTTTGGGTTGTTCTCCTTTTTGGTGAAGGGGATGGGCACTGAGACACAGCACAGCCCCTGGGGGCTCTTCAGCCTTGTCAGCAGAACACTAAAGCTGGGATCTTTGCATTTTATACTTATATTTACATATTTTAATCCCCAGTGGCAAATCCTGCCCCAGGGTGCCGTCCATCCACATCCAATGTTTTGGAAAGCGCAGACCAGCTGAGGTCTTGTCAGGTTGTTTTTTCATGACTTTGCAGAAAAGAAAATCTCCATTTTTGTTTCAGTCTGTACTCATTTAAACATTATTTTGCAGGTTCAAGTAAGAAGCATACACCAGGGTATCATTCCCCTTTCAATGTAAATACTATCTTGTTTGCATAGTTCACTTTGCTCATCTGTTGGTGAACTGATGGATACAGAGGCTGACGGCAGTCTGGGTGGAGATGAGCATCCACAGTACATTCCTGGCTACAGGAAACCAAACAGGAGTTCCACACACTCCATAGTTTACCGGTGTTACTGCTTTCATTTTAAAAAGAATGCATTTGCCAGCTTGGCCGGGAAGCTGTGAAATATTCAGTGTGGCAGCAAGAGTCAAATCATATCCCTTCTTCTCTATTTTACCCATTGAAACAAAGATAAAATCCTACTTAACTTTAGGGCGGTGGGGACTCAGGTGTACCTATCAACAAGGTAGTTATAGCTATACTGTGAGGACATGTTGGATGGGAGACATTAAGATGGAAGTCTTTGATAAAAATACCACGGTGGCCAGAAGCAGAAGGATTGGGTGTTCACAGCCAGCCTCTGCTCTGTGTGAGTTAGAATCTAGCCTGAGCTACATGAGACTCAGTTTAGAAAAGTCAAACAAAACCAACCCCAAAGTAAAGAAACAAGAAAACCACAATCTGACCCAATAAGTGAATGATCGTGGGGGGGGGGGCGCTCAATGAGAGAAAAAGAAGAGGAGCATATGATGGAGCTCTGTAGGTGAATCGGGCAAGACAGAGGCCAGCTGTCTCTTGGAAACAAGAGGATGTTTGGACATTGGTAGAACACCGCCTCCCAGTCCAGGGCAGAACACTGCCTTGGGAAAGGAAGAATGATAGTGGATGGGCTTGTGTTTTCCTTTCTCACAGACTGGAGCTCTGGGAAAGGGTTTGGTTAGGAACAGAAAAGAAAAACACCGTTTACTTGGAACTTTGCTTGATTTGTGTTTTGCATGCTGTATCCTTGGCTGACCCTGCTCACTAGGTACAAAGAGCAACTCTTAGAATTAAATTTACTCTTCTCCACCTGAGAGTTGAGTCCTTTGCCTTCTCTCATCCTGCCATCCACCAGCAGATCTGAGTCTCTGCAGGCACAGGAGGTTTGGAAGCCCAAAGGAGCAGACATCCACAAGGTTAAGGGGCGCTGCTCCATGCACCAGCCTACTCAAAGAAGAGTTAGAAACAGACGCCAGAGTGAGGACCGTGCAGAGAAAGCTAGGCATGGCAGAAAAGACAAAACAATTGAAGACAGTGTTGAGAGGGAGCAGAAGCAGGAGGGCAGGGCAGGCGACGCCACCCAGGCATCCCAGAACATGCCGTGCTCTACTAGTTTTCCTGGGCTGTGGCAAAAACAACAGACACATATTTTCTCGCCATGTTGGAGAACAGAATTCTGAAATTAAGGTGCTGGCCAAGGATGGCTCCTAAGGAAGAAAGCATCCTGTCCCCTTTCCAGCTTCTACCAGTTGCTGGCAGTCCTAAGCATTCTGTGGCTTGGAGGCACGTATTCAAATCTCTGCCTCCAAGGGCCCATCTCCCAGGTGCTGGCCAAGGATGGCTCCTAAGGAAGAAAGCATCCTGTCCCCTTTCCAGCTTCTACCAGTTGCTGGCAGTCCTAAGCATTCTGTGGCTTGGAGGCACGTATTCAAATCTCTGCCTCCAAGGTCCCATCTCCCTCTTTTGAGTCTTCACCTGGCTTTCTTATAAGGATGCTACTCACTGGATTTAGGACCCACACTGACCAAGCACGTCCACTTCCACAAAGAAGCTATTCTCAACAAGGCCATAAGCTGAGGTTCTGGAAGGACACGATTTAAGAGGCATTACTCGGTCCAGTGCAGTTGGGTTGCAGAGGCACTGGCAGAGGCTCCTGAACATTCTGGGTTTCTGCATTTCTCTCAGATGGCCACTAGAAGGTGATGATCCTGGAGAACCCGAGACTGGAAGGATGGTGAAGAACGACTCATTGAAGGGGCTTAGGACCCGCCTGCAGCCGGGCACACTATCGCAGAGCAGAGCTGCTGTGCTGTGGTTAAACACCTGCAGCATCTCTGTTCACGTACACCCCTTCCTGCACAGGGTGAGGCCTGCATGGCTTTCAGCTGCTTGTGACTATTCCTATCTCAGGATAAACAGGGAAACCACTTATGTGATTTCTCAGAAACTTGCCTACCAATAGTCAGGTAGCCTTATGCCATTAACTACGTAAGGTTTACCTCAAAACATTAGTTGTGTTTCTTCATGCAAGGAGACTATCCTTAAAATGTCCACTACAACATGGAGATGTGTGCTTCTTATAAGTTCGTTAGTAATTTCTCATATATAATCATTTGTGTGTTTAAACAAGCAATGCATAGCTGTATCGTTTTTCTGAACTATGGCTTGTATAATTAGGTTTCTTTTTGTGTGTGTGCATTGTGTTTGCACAGGTATGAACACACCGTGTGCCGTGGCACCCAGAGGAAAACTTTGGGTATCCTTCCTCAGGTGCTGTCTACTTTCTTTACACAGAATCTGTCTTTAGCCTGGAGTTCAAAAATTAGGCTACCTTGGGTGTCCAGGAAGCCTGTGGGGCTCTGCCTTTCCCACCTTGGCATTGCTGAGATGACAGGTGCACACCAA